AACAATTCTGTGTCCCTGAGTAACGATTCTGTGTCCCTCAGTAACAATTCTGTGTCCCTGAGTAACAATTCTGTGTCTGTCCCTGAGTAACGATTCTGTGTCCCTGAGTAACAATTCTGTGTCCCTGAGTAACGATTCTGTGTCCCTAAGTAACGATTCTGTGTCCCTAAGTAACGATTCTGTGGCCCTAAAGTCTCTGTGGCCCTAACTCTGTCACTAATACACAGAGGTTTGTCTCTCTTGAAAGACCGGAGGCTAATGGAGAATTGTAAGATGGCCGCAATTTATAGCTCCACCATTACACAGTGCTGGCTGGCTGGCTGCTGATTGGCTAATGCGATCACATGTCATGAATGAATGCATTATGGCAGCGCGCCTTGTCTGTGCGCCTTCCCAGAGATCCCCGCTCCGTCGCCACACATGTCGCCGCCATTTTTGGGAAAATTCGATTCGTGCATCCGAAGTTTGCTAATTTTCGGATTCGGCGCGAATCGAATTTTTCCTGATCTTCGAAACGAATTCCACTTCGCCATGTTCGATTCGCTCATCTCTAGAGATAACCTTACAATGGACACACTAATTCTTGTAACCCTGGTAGCAACCAGGGATTTCCATCACTTTGGAGGGGTTTTCTCTCATTTCTTGTTTTTGCTATAGGTTAGGAAGTAAATGGAAATCTCCCCAATGGGAAAACTGACAGGGGCTAATAAACCTTTTCTTATTTTATCCAAAAGGAAAACAAAAATTACCTTTATATCTGCTTTAATGAAGGTGCATAAGTCTTTAAATCTATGACACTGTCAGGGGAACTCATAAATGGGTGTCGTGGACACCATTTAGAATTTCATCAGGGTGCAGCACCAGAAGTGTCAGACATGTACAGGAATTGGTCCATTTCGCACAGCCTTCTGTCCCAGCTGGTCACACTCTCAGGTGTATGGCCAAAGATTTTTTTACTAGGAGTAGGCAAAGCCTGATGGGGAACCAGGGGCGGACTGACCATTGGGGAACTTGGGCACTGCCCGAGGGCCCGGGGTCAGTAGGGGGCCCCATGAGATGTCCCTGGTACCTTTCATAGGCTTTTTGGGTGTGGTTTGAGTGTGGGCGAGGACACAGGGGCCCCATGATCCCCTATTGCCCAGGGGTCCCATGAGTTGTCAGTCCGCCCCTGATGGGAACTGAGCGACTTGTTCCCCATCAGATCTGAATGCCCAAATTTAGCTTTTGAATCTGCCCACTGCTGTGCACTGTCACTCAAAATTTAAGCTCCGCTCACCCAGTGACAAATCAATTCCAAAATATGGGCATCAGTTGTATCCCTAGCCCTTTTACTTAAATTTAGCTTTTGGCTAAATGAGGCAGGGGATACAGCACTGTGCAGGAAGCTGTCACATTCATGACAGATTCGTCAAAACATTCACAGCCCACTTTGGGTACTGGCGTACCAGATCAGAGTTGGTATTAATTACCACCAGTTTCCTAAATGGAAAACTGTAGGTAATTCTTTAAGAATTTGTTGCTGTCATAGCAATAGGTTCTTAAAGTGGCAGTAAGCAGAAGGAGCTGACTGCTACTCAGCAAAGAACCTGAGTTCTGTAAAGCTTTAAATAGGCAACTGGGCACCAAAGTCCATCAAACAAGCATGCTCATACACATGAGCATGTGCACAACGCTAATGCTAATGTACATATAATTGTGTAGATGTGTGCAGGGTTCTAGTGCTGTACACAGGACTGTTGTGCGTGTAGCACCCTCCAAGGTAGGTTGGTAGGATGTACATAGTCTAGTTTATTATAGTGTGGTGTCCTGTTTAACAGGAGGATAATAGGTAAAACATAGCAGCTTCTCTGCTTATCAGGAATATACAATGTTTAGCAAGAGATCCTGTGTGCCTCACAGTGTTGTTGCTGCTGTGATTAGGTTCTTGGAAGGTTCTGGGTGAACAGGAGTGGCCCATGCTGATCAGGAGCATTAATATGGATGCAGTTCCAACCAATTACAGGGGAGTGGTGGCCTTGAGAATGCTGGGTACTAGTATTTATATTCAGTGAACACATGTGATCTGGGTTCTTCCTCTTCATGTGAGAAGGGGATTCCAGCCAGGGGAGGTGGCTGCATCCCTGCCTCATGCTAACAGGAAGCATTGGGTGGGTGACCCAAAGACCAGGGTGCTGAGAGCTGACTGAGGGGTATGTCTACAGATCCTGGCTGGTATTATGGAAGAGGTTGACCTGCAGTAAGGGCCTTGCGAGTACAAACTGTTCTACATGGATGCTGGGACACCCTCCTTGGGATCTATATAGTCTGCTGCTGGGTGTAAGCTAAAAGGGACACCTGCCAGGTATCCAGAAGAGCAATTGTTCACTAAGTCTGCATATATACAGAGGGACTTTGCTCTATCCTTGTACAGTCTGCTACACAGTTCCACTTTGAAAAAGCTGTCCTCAACTGTGCACAGTTTAATTCGAAGTATTCTACTATATCCCTTCCCTATCTCAGTTCCAAAAAAAAGTAATAAAACAAAAAAGCTACAACCCCTAGACTGATCATTGGAGTAACAAGTGGAAATTGTGTGCTCCTGAGTAAGGAAATGCAGTGTGCTTGGCTGTGTGAGGAATTCTAGGGGAAAGCCTGGGCAAGACACAAGAGAGTTCTGTCGGGGTAGCGCTACATGTGTGCATGTGCATTCCTTTGGCACAGGCATTACTTTGAACAGGAGAATTCCTTTGAGCATGGGCATTCATTTGAGCAGGGGCTTGAGCACAACATTCCTGACAATGCATCAGTAATGTTACCAACACTGGGGCAAATGCTTATTTGAATTGGGCACAGGTAGTATTTAAGGGAACTACCACCAAAAAAACTGTTGTTAGTCATTTTGTATTACTCATTGTGTGCCTTTTATATATACTTGCAAACATAGGTTACAATATGTTTTTATTATGTTTTAGATGCAAGATATATTTATTTTTTTTCAGACTCTGATACCATTGACCACTGTGCAACAATGCAAATTTTCCAGTGTATATTCTGGTACTTTGATTGGTTCTAAGCTGTTGCAGTTATTATGGCAATCAAGCCCATTATCAGGCTTTTTAACAGTTTGATAAAGATTCCAGTTTACTACTGAGCTAAGGGCTTTAGGCAGATTACTGCACTTTACTGTCTTAGAAATTGGTATTTCTATAATAATGTGACACTGTGAAAGGAAAGATCATTGATGGGAGGGATTTTCAGTTTCTGTTGCTTTGGAGAAACTAGGGCTAACCAGACCAGGCTTTGGGTTCTATCTGGTATTTATGCTGATCCAAGCCAATTTTTCTCTTCCACTTACCTCTAATCACTGCTGCAGGTGAGATGAGAAAGAAAAGTTTGGGGTAGAGATGGAGCTCTGGACTGGGACACAGGAAAGCTACAGTGCCTGTGAGAGCTGAAATTGATTCTGAAAAGCTCTGAGTAAACGTTGCTGCAAAATTAGAAAGGAGAAGAAGGAAGTTAGTACCTGGCTAGAAAAGGATGTATTTTCTGTCTTGTTTTCAGCTATGCAACCGCATAAATTAAGTTGGCTGCTTGTAAGGTTTTTTTTTCACCAGACCTGCTGCCTGAGTGTGCCTTTATCCCAGGAAACTAGATCCCAAACTGAGAAAGCCCTCACATATGGTGGATTCAGCAGGCAACAGTCTAAACAAATGACAATATGAGTGATGTGTTGAAGGATTTGCTTCAAGTAACAGCTGCCCAGCATTGCAGCAGGAGAGAAATCACCCGCATGCTGAAACAAACCAACAATCTGTTTAACTGGTAATGCTGATGTCAAGGTTTTTTTTGCAGTTTCAGAGCCTTAGTGAAAGGTGGCTGAAACTCACCAAATGGATCAAGTTGTCCTAAAGGAGGTCACCCAGTGTATACTGAAGTTAAGATAGGACTCCACAGGCGCAGTACCTACTGAACACAAGGTTGTGCACACAAGCTATTTCTTGCAGATGACGAAAGCCAAAGATAATGTTGAGATAAATGGTGCACAAGTATGATGAAAAGCGCAGTGGGCTACCTCTCATTCTGAGTTAATGGGTAAGCCACCTGGACCCTAAAGCAGCTTATTGAGATCTATACTGTGACCAAGGACTTGTTTAATATTCCATTGCCTCAATGCACAATGTCCCAGAGGGAGAAACTGCCTAGAGTGCCTGGTAAGTCTGTTTCAAGGGTGAAGGGCCCCAGGGGGAAATTTTTAGACTGTTTCTAAAAGTGAAGATACTGTAAGCCCTGGGCCTGGTCACTGGCCAAATAGATTGGGTAGGTTCATGGTGCCTTACAGGCTACAGAATATAGAACCCATAATTTTTTTTTTATTGCCAATGGCTAGGCCATTGTGCTGCTGATTGTCCAATCACTGAAAAATCAATGCAAAGTGATAATTCTTTATTGAGAAAAGTACATGTCCTAATTTGCTCGGGAAATGTGTAGTGCAGCATATCAGGAAAGTCCTGAGAAACAAATATGTATTATTTCAGTTGACAAAAAGGTAGTTTTTGTTTCTGTAGTTTCCTCTTTACTATATGAAGCCATGAACACAACAGGAGAGTATTTTCTGATCTTTTGAAAATGTGGGAAAATAAGATTGATTGAGGAATATAGTGCCCCCTTCATAGAGGTGAAACTGATGAAATCAGCCCTGACCATTTAGATAGTTAATCATTTTCCTACTGGGCACTTTTACCTCCTTCCTGCCAGGCCAATTTTCAGCTTTCAGTGCTGTCACACTTTGAGTGGCTATTGCGCAGTCATGCAACACTGTACCCATATGAAATGTTATCAATTTTTTTCATACAAATATAGCTTTCTTTTGGTGGTATTTAATCACCACTGGGGGTTTTATTTTTTGCACTATAAACAAAAAAGAGCAAAACATTTGAAAAAAAAAAAGTTTTCTTTGTTTCTATTATAAAATTTTGCAAACAGGTAATGTTTCTCCTTCACTAATGTGAGTTGATGAAGCTGCACTGATAGGCAGCACTGATGGGCACTGATATGCAGCAATGATGGTCACTGATGGACACTGATGGGTGACATTGACAGGTGGCACTGACTGGCGGCACTGATGGGCGCAACTGATGGGTGGCACTGATGGGCAGCACTGATCATCATGACAGTGTGAGGAAAGTGCTGCCGATAACCGGCAACTGTATTTACTCGGTGATTTGCTTTGTCATTGGAAACATCTGATCACGTGGTAAAAGGCCACTGTGATTGGCCTTTTACCTCATCATGGGATCAGATGTGTCCATGTCATGCTGGGGTCGCGTGGGAGGGTGTGTTCTGGGAGGAGGCCATATGATGCCCTCCCAGAACTAGACAACCGCTCTGTAGCTGTCATTCGGCTATAGCGCGGTAAAGATGTGGTTAAATGGAAGGGGAATCTTTTAGCACGTTCAGTGACGGTAACCTTCCCCTTTCTTGGAAAACACCAAGAAACTCCTCAACACCTGAAGCAAGAACACTTGAAACATTATCCTTGGCCTAAAGAAATGATGCAAAAGTTTGTGAGAATGGAATAAGAATTTCTTCTTTGAGATACCCTGACTGACCACAGTTTTTAAATCTAAAATAATTTCTGAGCCTGGTGTCTGAGTAAATGTAAAGCCATAGAATGCCCAAAGTTAGGCAGGAAGCATCTGCAAAAGAAATACAGTAAGTAAAATTCTAGATCTGGTAGTGACTGGTCAATTCCAAAAGTGTCAGCTCTGAAGACAGATGGAAAAATATGATTTTATAATGATTTCAGAAACTTGAATAGCATATCCAAAATTGATGCTTACATGATGCTATGAGTTGACAAACACATTGACAGGTTGGGAACCACACAATATATGACAATACTACAATATGAGAGCTAACAAATAATGTTTACCTGTCAATACTTTTACTGAGATTGTAAAAAAAAAGGACAGCCTTTTGGTTTACATGGGGTTCCTGCCCTATTCCAGAGAATAATGGATAACACTTAAAGACCTTGTAACAAATACACAGTAGCTGATTTGGACAATATAGTCATCCACAGCCCAGATTGGGAGACTCATTTATCATGCGTGCAAGCTGTAGCGAACCCTCTCAGAAAAGTTGGGCTCTTGGCAATCTCCAAAAATTGTTCCATAGGTTTGGAGAAAGTCAGAATGTGATGTAATTGACTATATATAAATAATGATGTCAGTACCTTGTGGTGTAATTGCCCATTGTGACATCTTGGGGGTTGCTTAACTCAATGGTAGTGTAGAACAGTGAGTCCAATCCACTTTAGATGGGCTTTTTAAAGCTTTTATGCCCACTTTTATTTCAAACAGAAAGGAAGTTCACAAATCACTTCCTATGAAGGAGGTTTCCACCATCGATACGAAAAAGAACAATATTCAACCTCTTGGCTCTTTGGTCTTGTGCCTTGGTCCTCCAGACTATCTAACACACTTCACAGTGCTCAAGTCCCAAACACTGTACCTATGTCAGGTTTGTGTCTTTCTTGCTACTCCCTCTTTCACTGGTCACAGGCTTGGGCCTTGGTCTGTTCTGCCCTGGACAGCATGGTGCACACATGCACCTCTCTGCACCCTTGCAACACACACTAACTCCCAGGAGGGAAGAGCCCAGAACTTTAATCCTGTCTCTGTGCCATCAGTGTGCCTGTTCTCTGCAAAACCTGGCCTAGACTACCATTTTACAGAGTGGCATGGCTTGCATGTCACACCATATTTGGTCATGTTCATATTTGGTCACCTAAGATACCCTGCCCCCTTCTATATAACAGCTTGTCATCCATGAATTGTCATTTGGTGAGTGACAAGCGAATACGCAGGACTTGTCTCTGCGGTGGTGTCATTTTTCATTTAGCGGGTCATCGGTCGTTGTGTATCATGACATGGATTTGCATAGGTGGACAATGTTATTCACGATGGATTTACAAAGGGGATTTTCTTTTAAATAAAGGACCAGACATTTGGGTGTCTTTCCCTCTTTTATGTAAATGAGTAGGGGTATTCATTCACATGGAGGGCGTAGGTGCAATGCTTTGCAGGTTCCAGTGGCAAAAAACAAAATAATGATTTTTTTTTTTTACATGCAAAATCAAGTGCATTATTTTATTATTATTATTCTATTACTAAAAGGTGGACTTATCCTTTAATCCTCCCCTGTTTTAATCGTTTTTGCTGCAACTTTTTGTATTTTGTTTGTATGTGAAAATTATTTTAATCACAAAAAAGTATGTGTGTGTGTGTGTATATATATATATATATATATATATATATATATATATATATATCAGTAGATACACTGTACTTACTTAAAATACTTTGTCTTTTCAAGGAGAAGTTACTTTTAGAACATACAGGTAATTTTAAAAAACAAAGTACTTTGGAACATCAGTTATCAGGGAACTCTTTGTAGTCCCATTGGAAATGCTTTTTTTTTTACCTCTTCATTATAATGGTTGTTTCAAGCTTGGTACTCCTTAAGAGCTCACAGAACTGTAAGGTGACTTCAGATACAGCTTTGTTTTTCAGTCCAGGGTGTTTTATCCTTTGCAGCAAAAAATGAAAATGTCTTGAGGCTGCAAAAATGTGAGCAGACAATGGGTAAATAAATTATGAGGCGTAAATATGATAAGGTCTGCCCTGTTATGGGTTTTCTAGCTACCACACACATACTCATGCTAGAATTTAGGGCTGTTTGTATATAAAAATCTGCTCTGGATGAACTTAGCCTGGATTGAATTATGTTTCTATTTGCTTGTTGATGACAGCAACCAGCCAATCATCTATGATGGGTTTTTACCTAGGTGGTGTCATAGTGCAACATCGATCAAAGACAGCTAATGATGTGACTGCAGTAATCTGGTAGATTAGAAAGAGAAAAATGTTTTCTTTAACTTTTTTTGCCTTTAAAATAAAATAAAATAAATACAATTAAACATTTCTAAAAAACAGAACAATTCCACTAAAAGGAAAGCCTTGTTTGTGTCAAACACAATACTGTGCTTTAATACTGTATCATAAGTAATAAATGTCAAATTCATACACCATGGCTAAAATGTAAATTGGCCCTGGAATTTCACTGGTTACAATAAAACTGTTTGACCAACTAGCACATTCTCTAGCATCATTTGTTGCTAATATTAATAATTTAGCAGTTTTGAATTACAGATAAACACCGACAAATGTGTATGTGGCCATGTACATGAAGATATGAAAAAAATCCAAAATTTAAACTTACATATATCAAATGAGATTAGTGTGTGCATGTGCGCGTGTGCTCGCGCGCACGCGTGTGTGTGTGGAGGTTTTTTTTTTTTTTATTTGTTTGGTCTGGAATACTTTATATGGTGTGTGCAAACAGCAGAGTTGAGCACTAGTAAAGACTAACACTTCCACCAGATTTCTGTATTTCCATGGATGTTATGGAGCTGATATCCTAAAAGCAGGCAAAATGAATACATTGTAAGTGATATGTCCCAACATAAAGATAGTTAACTTTATTTAGCAGCAACCTAGTTGCAGAAAATTCCATCAAACATGTGTGGCAAGAACAACCCATTACCTCTGTATGTGTGCTAGGTGGCTGCTCTGTCCCAAGTAGCAAAACAGAATAGCCTGAAGGTTTACCTAAATCTTTAGTGTGTATCATTTGGGGGGGGGGGGGGGAAACAGTGTCTATCTGACTTTTTGATGTCCATTTATTCTTGCTAGCTTTAATTGACAGTGCATCTCTGACTTGGCTAGGAGTGCCAAGTACATGCCTCAGAGGGATCACACAGCATAGAAAAATGGTGGTAAGTTCAGAGTCCAGTTTACTTGATGGCCCTGTTTGTAATAAACATCCATTACTATAACCCTGTCATGTGTCCGCTTTATTTAACCGCTTAAGTACCCAGCCAGGCTTTTTTCTCTCCAAATCCATTTGTGATCCAGAACCTTTTTTTATGTCTTCGTTCCACACATCATACCTTTTAGCATATGCAGTCTACATCATTTATTTCAGGACAGATAGAGTTCAGTCAGGGCAGTAACAAAAGGTGCTCAACAACAGTGACACTGCTGTAAAAGGTTATGGTGCCACTCCAAGCTGGAGGTACAATGGTCTTCCTGGTGGGACTTAGGAGTAGGGGAGCAGGCGTCACCTCTATGACTAAGCCCTGGTTGGTGGGGCGAAATGCCATCTGTGCATGGTTAGTGGAGCAGCACTAGCTGTGGCTGTCACATATACTTACATTGATCAAGCTAAATGAGCGGCATCTTATACTTCCATTATTGGCACCTCTGGGTCACAGTGGTGTAGCTGAAAGATGCCACACTTCTTAACAGACAGTGTACTGAATTGAGATAGAAAGCGGCCTCACTCTTCTCATGCAATGCTCCCTGATGCATGATACTGGGACACCCAAGGTGAATCCCTCTGACTGGCTACATTCAAGAACCCAGAGGAAAAGCGGGAAGCAGTGACCACACTCACTTCAAATTAGCAGCAGCCAAGCAAACTCACCAGGGATGCACAGTAGCAAAGGAGGACCAAGCCCATGACACTCTCCACTGAGCATTGAGGTCTATCTGCACTAGCAGCCCTGCAAAAAGCTAGAAATAGAACTAGCTTCCAAGAACTGGACCCAAACGTGACTGACATATTGCATTCATGGGTATTACACTCCCTGCAAGATTACCCTACATCTGATCAGTCCTGAAAGGGTTAATAGTTAACTAACCTTTTCTTTGTGCTTACTAACCATTTTCATAAACAGAATGTTCTCTGGGGACTGGAATTTTCTTATCTATGTAAGTGTCCTCGGCCATGGAGCTTTGCGGAACTTATTATTTTGTTTGCTATATTTCTATTATGCACCATATGGTGAGTTATTGTAACATCTATAATGTATCCTGATCGGTGCTTTATGGATACTGCCCAAAGTATTTGGTGTTCTCTCTCTATTTAAACTTAAACAATAATAAGACTTTGAATTCTGTGTTTCACACCTCAGTGTCTGAATTGCATTATTTCCAAAGTACTTTGTATCTGGCATGATTGGACGGCGGGTGTTGGCACAAAATTGAGTTGTCCTTACAAATCCCTGTCAGATTATACACTATAAGAGATGCTAATAACTTTCAAAAGCTCTGTACATGCTGACATGACATTCATGATGGTGAACATTAAAGGGGACATTACTGAACTTGGTGGCAGGGCAGATCATATAGAGTAAAAAATGGGATAATTTGCCTTTGTCCATAATAACCTGGTAGACTTTTTAAAAATGGAGTCACCAACCACACACAATGGCTAAATTAGCTGACCTGAAAAAGAGCATCAGGTGGAATAATGTTTTGGAGGTATTCTGTGGCCCCAGCAGATTTAAAGCATTATATTCAACATAAGATTGAACACTTACGCTCATCAGCAGCTCTCATGAATTTGTGATAGATAGGGCTCATAGGTTAATGAAGAATTCATTTGCGGTGGAAAAATGGCCATCTGATGTTAGCACACATACACACTTTTCATGTAAAGGATAAATTAATGGATATTGCTGCAAAGATCATGCCACTCTCAAATGAATAAGCAGATATTGTGCTACATGTAGATTTGTCACCGGCAACTGTAAAGGCAATAAAAAAATTCATTTCAGTTACAAAAGCTCTTAAGACCCACAAAACTGCATGTAGATGGGGGTTTCCAATGAAACTTCTTACTAGAAAGAATGGCAAAACTCATGTGGTTACTTTACTGAATGAGGGAGTTAAGCTTCCCAGGTCCTGGGGCATTAAAGTTGCATTAAACCTCAAAACCAACAAATTAATGTATTGCAGCTTATCAGTCTTCAGTTGTGGTGGCTGAATCAGATTTCTTTTTTTAGGCTTTCTATCCTCTGTTTTCACCTGGTGATATGGTCAGTAGCAGGGGTGGACTGACAACTCATGGGGCCCCGGGCAATAGGGGATCATGGGGCCCCTGTGTCCTTGCCCAAACTCAAAAAAGCCTATGAAAAAGGTACCAGGGGCATCTCATGGGGCCCCCTACTGACCCCGGGCCCTCGAGCAGTGCCCGAGTTTCCAAATGGTCAGTCCGCCCCTGGTCAGTAGCACTCCTCCTGTAATAATGTGCTCTCATTCTGGATGAAAGAGCACAGGGGGCACCTTTGGACAACATCATTGTCATTCTGGGGGGAAGGGAGTGCTAAATATACTAGCAGTTTTAAATACACTAATAAATTAAAGCCAAGCGCCAGCTAATACTTTTATAAGCAGTTACAATTCATTTTTTTTTTCTCCTTTTCGGGATAAAGGATTTACATACATATAAGCGAGCCATTGTAAGCACCCCTGCTAGTTTTAAATAGTTTATCTCATCTCTGTAGCTCAGGGGTGGGCAACTGTGGCCCTCCAGCTGTTGGTGAACTACAAGTCCCATCATGCCTCTGCCTTTGGGAGTCATGCTTGTGACTGTCAGTTTTGCAATGCCTCATGGGACTTGTAATTCTACAACAGCTGGAGGGCCACAGTTGCCCACCCCTGTAGTAGCTGATACAACGTGAACAACGAAGAGCTTGTTCTTTTGAAAAAAAAAAAAGACTTATTGGCCAGATCACCAGATGAAATAGAAGAAAGCCTAAAAAAGAAAATTAATGCAGCCATCACATTTAAGAATTGGTAAGCTGCTATATAATAAATGTTTGCTTTTTGGGTTTAATACCACTTTAAGCTTGAATGTATCCTTTTCCAGACACGACAGTCTCAGATTAGTGGATCAGCATTCATCATTTCCAACACAGGATGACACTTGATCATATTTTACAGGCATCTCACTTTTATGACTCACTGAGCGGCATGTCGCAACAGGTGCTCACCTTGGCTTTCCCATTTGTTGATTTCAAATACCGCATTGTGACAAAATGCATTGTTTTTGCAGCTTAAAAATCTTGTTTGTTATATTTGTTCTTTTAATTAAATTGTTCTCTTCGTTATTGTTTATAGTTCCCTGTTGTACAGGTGTACCTCAGTTTACGAACGCCTTCGTTAACGTAATTTTCAGTTTATGAATGAAAATCCATTGAAAATAATGCCTTGGTTTACAAATTTTTTACAAATTTTTTTGCGCAATACGAAGTGTATGTTGGTGCTGATTTTTAAATATGATTGCTGGCTTTTTTTTTTCTTCTCTATAGCTCACAGAATTAGCTGTCACTTTCCCCAGAGCTAAAGGATACTTTGTTTCTTTTATCTCGGGAAACAAACTAAAAGGAAACATTGTTTCTTTTAACTGAGAAATAAACTAAAAGGAAACTTCCTTTCTTTTAGCTGGGGGGAAAGTGACAACTGATTCTCTGAGCTATAGTGAAGAAAAAAAAAGCCGGTACTTACACTTTAAAAACTGGCACTGACCTATAGTGACAGTTTTTTTTTAAACTGTTTTTCTTACCTCCGGAACGGATTAATTAGTTTTCAATGCATTCCTATGGGAAACCGAGTTTCGGTTTAAGACTTTTTTGCAATACAAAATGTCCCGGAGAATGCATTAAATTCATAAACCGAGGTACACCTGTATATGGTGCCTCTACTAGCTGCAACCTACCTCTTTTACTGTCAATGAACATTGTCTACAAAATCTCTACTACTTGCCTTATGGCTAGTTATTACATTATTTGTATCACGGACCCTCCTGCATTTACGATAACACTTTTCCTTCCTGTGTCCAGCTCACAAAACATGATGCGGGATACACACTATAAGTTTTATTTCATTCAACCCAGTGGGCGTACAGATCGCTGTGCTAACACAAGCAATGTTAGTGTGAGGATATCCTCACTGAGCTATTGTATTCTGACAAGGGGGCTGCCCCCTCGCCAAAACACACTAATAAGTGCTCGCAGCCATTGCCTGCAAGCGCTAATCAGTTGCTGGTTTTTTAGCGTCCCCATTTTGCAGGAGTAGATTTACTAAAACTGGAGAGTGCAAAATCTGGTGTAGCTGTGCATGGTAGCCAACCAGCTTCTAACTTCAGTTTGTTCAATTAAGCAATCCAGCATGTATGAAGATAAGTAATGTTTGTACCCAAATTGATGTTTCCATAAGTGGGCACCTCCAATGCTTGTGTTTATGTTTCATATATAAATGGGAGTAGGGGGGTGCTTACAAAATATTGGGGGGTTTGCTTCAGTGCTTCAGTGTAACTATTTTTTTTTCTTTCATTTAAAGAATATGTAAACCCAACATTTCATATTCCTGATATTTGCCTGCTGTACCATGTACTTGTGTGAAAATGTATCTTGTTTTCTTTGTATTGCTTCCTTTTTATGAAATCCCTGGTGTTCCTGCCAGTCTCTCTACGTTCCTATTAAATTCTTACTACACTAGGCATATGATCACACTGTGGTCAGTTCTCTAGCTGTGCTGAGAACTCAATCTCCTCTCCTTCAATGATCAGATTTGTGCTGACAAGCCTTTCCCTTCTTCCTGCATAGCCTTTCAGTGGGAATATCAGTGTGCTGCTATTTCTCCTCCCCATCTCTTATGCAGCTGAAAACAGAGGGAAAAAAAACAGTGTATATAATTTTTTATATCTATGCACAAATGTTTTGCTTTTAATTTCTATTTTAAACTGAATAGGTTGTTTTACAAGGTAAGGGTTTACAATCACATTAAAAAAGAGACGTTTCCTTGGGAATATCTGCGGTTTGTGCTGTCTCGTTGGGGTTTCGGGGATTCTATTCTCTCTTGGATTCAGGCCTTGTATTCCTTTCCTTCGGCCTCCGTTAAATACGCTGGGTATTTCTCGGATCCCTTTCCTGTTGGGCGAGGGACGAGGCAGGGTTGCCCGCTGTCCCCGACACTCTTTGTCCTGGCACTTGAGCCACTGGCTTTAGCGCTTTGGACCGATTGCAATATATCGGGGGTTCCATACGCGGGACAGGAGTTTAAGCTAAGCCTCTTTGCGGACGATGCCCTCTTGACCCTTACTAATCCTCTGATGACGCTTCCTAACTTGCAGCGAGTTCTTGAGCGCTTCTCCTTGATTTCGGGTCTACGTATCAACTTGGATAAAACCGTCGCTCTCAATATTACTTTGGCTTCAGATTTGGTTTCGCGCCTACAATCTCACTTCCCTTACTGGTGGGCTTCCTCTTTTCTGGAATACTTGGGCATTCGCTTGACCCCCACCTATGACTCCCTTTTGCTGCAAATTATTATCCTTTGCTTAGCTCTTTATCTTCTCTTATGCATTCCTGGCAATTTCCGCACCTGTCTTGGATAGGACGGGTTCATTCAGTGAAAATGACCATCTTGCCGAAATTGTTATATTATTTTCGCACCCTCCCGGTGCGGGTTCCCCCTCACTTTCTTCGGTTGCTTCAGGCGAAGTTTATGCGTTTTATCTGGGCCGATAAACACCCCAGAGTCTCTAGAAATACGCTCTTTGCTCATAGACTCCAGGGTGGTCTTGGGGTACCCAATGTAGCTAAGTATTATCAGGCGAGCCAGATTGCCCCGCTGTCTATGTTGCACGCTTCCTCTGATGTTCCTCTCGGGGTCCTGCTGGAACTACCTAATTATGCCCCTATCGCACTGTCGATACTCCTATGGCTTCCCCCTGCCCTGCGCCCTATGGCGCTGAGTCCGATGTTGCTCCATGGCCTACAAGTCTGGGACTCGGTAGGTTACTCCAGTGGCCTGATGTCACCCTTTTTGCCCTTGCTTCCAATCGTTAACAACCCTCTTTTCCCACCGGGTCTAGATTGCCCGAGGGCATTTTCTTGGTGGGTGGCTCATGGTTTCTCACAGGTGCAACACTTTTTGACTTTTCAGTCCTTTCCCGCCTGAAATGTCCTTCGGGAGTCTTGGGATGTTCCCACAGCGGAATTTTTTCGGTACCTTCAATTGCGGCACTGGCTACTTTCGCTGAGGGCCACTTCTGCTTTCCCATATCAGAAATCTGCCTTTGAATGGCTTTGCCAGCAGCACCCGAGCGCCCCGGGCCTTATCTCCCTTCTTTACGCAGCTTTGAACAGACGCTCGTCTCACACTTCTCTTTCATATGTTGTTCAGTGGGAACGCGACCTGCGAGTGGCTGTGGATCCGAGGACTGGAGTAGGGACCTGGTCACTCATAGCTAAATGTTCATTTAATACGACCACGCTGGAAGCAGCCTACAAGGTATTGTTCCGTTGGTACTGGGTTCCGGCTCGTCTGGCCCAGGCTAACCCTGCCTGTAGTGATCGATGTTTTCGGGGTTGTGGCCATCGTGGCGATGTACTGCATATCTGGTGGTCATGCCCGAGGTTGGTTCGTTTTTGGTCTCGTGTGTTTGGCCTCCTTTTCACTTTGTTCCATCTCTCCATACGCCGGGATGCTTGGTATGCTTTGCTTCATTGCCCCATACCGGGCCTCTTGGCTCGTCAGCAGCGGTTGGCTTCCTATTTGTTTTTATCGGCTACTAGGACAATTGCTCAGGCCTGGAAGAGTCCGTTTGTACTTTTCTAGGGGGTGCGGGATCGTATGACTACTATGATGCTCAACGAACAGATGTCGAGTATATGCAACGACTCTCAACATAAATTTTTGAAAGTATGGGAGCCGTGGCTGCAATACGCCTTTCCCACGCTCCCCCCGGGAGGTAATGGAGTTTGGTATTGGCGCTCGTGGACCCCTGCTCTTTGTTTTTTTTTTTTTTTTTGTTTGTTTTTTTCCCCTTTCTTCTCTGCTCTTCTCTCCTTTTCTGTTTGTTTTGATGTGACAGTGGACAACTGTCTTTAGTTGCGATTAGAGGTGAGCGAATCGAACCAGGCGAAGTGGAATTCGATAC